GGCACACACAACGAAATACGTTTCAGCTCTCGTCTTAGTCGGTCAATCGAGCACTCTATAAGACACAGCGCCCTGGGGAAAAAATCCCCAAGACTCTCGCAAGGCTGACCCAAGACTCGCCCAAGACTGGACTGCCTCAAGGCTCGCCCCTGGACTCTCTCTGACTGGACTCGACTCGACTCGACTCGACTTAGACTGCGTCTATCGTGGAGTATTCGCCAAGACCAACTCAAACTCTCTTTATTCATTTTCAAAACTCTGACCAATTACAATGCAGTAAAAAGACTCTAGGGCGTAACCTTCAATCATAAAGCCAATCACACTAAGTACTGAATACGTCATATCTTTTGATTAATCGTTCACTACATTAATAACTATGGATGTCAGAATAGCGACGGTATCTTGTAATTAGTTCCAAACCACTGAGCCAAGTTCCGTCCAAAACTTCAAATAGGCCTACACGATGACAGACATAACACAGCAATTCGCTAATAATCAGTTAATTAAGTCGGTCAACAGATACGCAAAAACAAATTCATGACATATGTATATATGTTTATATATGCTGCGTTGCATTGTGTATCGCTGCGCTGCGTTTTGCTTTGGAGTTGTTACATTGCTTGTTAATATCTAATTATGTCTATTATTGCTAATTAAAATCACATGAGAAATAGAAATATAATATTCCCGATCTTAGCCAATAGTCATTTGTAGAATGACTTTTGCACAGTATATCTTTTTAAATGATTTGAATAATCGATACTTTTATAATTATTATACAGGTTGTGTAATTTGTTTTGCACCATTTATTTGTATAATACCTAGAATGCATTGTGACGTCCAACCATCCGTCCACCGGCACACACGCCCCAAACACCCGACCACATGACCGTCCGTCCGTCCGTTAGTAAGCGGGATAACTTGTTTTAGTTTTCATGTTATTTTGACTGTCTACAGGCACTACGTAATCCGCTTTATTCATAGTGATATTGAATGTATTCTGCCTGAAGTTGTAAAACTCCCAACGTAAGTTATGCGTCTATTTCCCGTGGGAATCAAGTTATTTGAACAAATGTAAGGCATAAAGCGTATTTTTTTTAATTCTAAATGTCTCAGGATGCAGGATTGCCATGAGCTATAGCGTCAATCTAACGCTAACCTTCGAACTGTTCTCCTTGTGAATTGTAACACCCTTGTCAATATATAATGAATTCATCGCAATGTATGGTACTGGTGTATGCATAATTCGCGTCTAGTTCCCACGTGACAAGTGGATTAACAAAAACTAAATCTACTAGTTGAACCCTAGTTGAACCCTCTGGAAAAACGATTATCATATTGTGTGGTAGTAATGCAACTAAAATGCATTATTATATTTAGTATCCCAAACCAGAAATACGTACATGGAAGATGTATTAAACAATCAGTGCGATTAGTTAGTCATTCAATATAGGATATGGGAATATCAACAATATTCGCTATACGCACTAATTCGTCGTTGTGAAGAGAGTGTTTGGTTTGGGCATAGTATGGACAATTTTACGCTGTATACGTGCGACGGACATCGAACTCAGTGCGTCGTGTATATAAACTATTGGTTAGTTACTAATTGGTAAGCCTTCTTAAATAACTGTGGCCATGGTATGTATTCAACTACGTAGTTACTGAACGCATATTGGCTTATAAATAAACAATAAATACAAATCCAATGTGTATTCGCTTACATATGCTCCTTAAAACAGGGTACATTGTTATATAAAATAATACGAACTCTCTGTTGAAATACATGTATTTTATTTGGACAAATGAACACAGATCTAGATATTAAAGTACCTGGCGTTTAGTATTTGCAAGCTTATGTATAATCCAGCGCCATGAAACGTTTTACTGTTTTACAACACAACAGAGACAAAAAGAAAAACGAAGACGTCGCAGACTGGCATTGATCATTGGTCTTTCAGCGTTGGTCGCAACCATCGGAATTGCCACAGTAGTATCGAGCATCATGGCTGTAAACCACATCAAGACACAAACAATCGGTAAAGTATACTTCTATAAAGTATTGTGACGAAAAATGTAGGTCTATTCTTTTGTATTTCAAACTTAGATTTATTTATTTAGACTTATTTATCCAGTCAAATCATGACTCGGGATCAAATGAAGTCGAGTTTGTTATGAATAATGAGACCAAAACACATGCTAACTAAATTGTAATATATTCATAAAGGTAACAATACAAGTAAAAACATAACATCGTGGCCATCAACTCCAAACTTATCAACTACATCCATGGTTCCTTCCAAAGATGAATATTTGAACGTAACCACTGAGTTTACTACAGACAGAGACCGAATGCTACAGTATACATCACCAGGACATTCATCGACTTCACTGGATTTGGATCATACTGCAACTTTCACATGCCCTGAAATACTGCCTATTACAATGTCACCAGGTATTGTATGTGGGTATTCAAGGAAACAATATTCGGTAATGAGTTTGTTGTAGAAACAAGCGGCCACATATCTCGTCAATACATGCCATTGTACTAACGCCTAGCTACAGCGTTAGTAATGAGTTACTACGCTCACATATATATCTGCTCTATTTATACAAAAAAAAAAAAACCTTCGCAAATAAAAGAAATTCTAATATTTGAAAAAAATAAGAATTAGTCACTAAACCATGTTCAGAATTATTATACGTTTTGATGATGATTATATTAACTTTGCTAATTGCCAGAGATAGTGAGAATTCTTTGGGCGTAGAATTTAACCTGGTCAATAAACAACGTGCATCTTATTCCTCTATGCAGTAAATGTGGTGTTTGCATAACTCAGAATGGTTTCGTATGGCTTCATAGCAGTGGAATACATGAGTCTGCAGTGATTCAAATTTTTCATATATCAGGACTTGACAATATTGTATAACTGTATAACTAAAAGTAATATGTGAATATATGTTTTAAGTTGAAGATAAATTCTATCAAACGCGTTTAGTGTTTTTTGTTAAGGCGGGGGGGGTCGCCATCTGCGCATGCACAATTACCACGCACGCTAAAAACGTAAAGGCTCATGGGTAGACCGTTTGCCACATGCGCAGGTGACGACCCCCGCGCTTTAACAACTCAATGATTAAATAACAAGCACATATATCTATATATTAATTTAGTCGTTCCTTGATTGTTCATTCAGATCCTGTAGCCTTCTGGCCACTTGATGCTAACTATGATCTTCGTGACCTATCTGGCAATGGTAACAACGGCATCGCAACTGGGGTAGAACTAGATTACAGCGTTAGACAGTGTGGGGCTTATCGATTTGCTGGTAACAGCGAGTCTTACATTGAATTTCCTAACAACGGGGCTATTGATACTGTCCGATCTATAACAGTATTGGGTTACATTTACCCAGAAGGCCCGAGTGGACCAATATTTAACTACAAACGAGATGATTATGGTTGGCATATATATTACATCGACGCCAATGGGCTATTTCTTCGAGTTGTCGGTCGCGATATGGCGTTTACCGACCCATTAAATTCTCCTACACTTCGTTTGAACGAGTGGAACTTTATTGGTGGAAGTTACAATTACCAAACGGGAATAGCAAAGTTATGGCAAGACGGTGAAGAAGTGTTAAGTAGTTATGTGGGACAGATGGAAATAGCAACGCAGTACGAAGTTCGGATGGGTGTACGTGAAACCGATAATCGATATTTCAAAGGATTGACAACTTGTTTCTCTGTATACGACAGAGAATTGTCTGTTAATGAAATATTATTGGCTCAATCGATGTGTGAATAATTTGATCTTTAATTTTATTGTGTTGCCAATGTCAATGACACCAATTCATAATAATTGGAAGATAACTAAAATTATATTAATAATGATTATGACATGATTATTAGTAAACTACAATTAAAAAGTGCCGCTCCAATACCCACATTAAATACAAATTCAAAATAGCATTATTTTTTTATTTGTAATCCAAAAATTTTCGAATGAATAAAATATGAACACATATAATGAAGCAATAATAGAATGAAGAAAAATCACGCTCAAATAGTTAATATCTTATTTTACTTATGCTCATATAAATAAACATAAATTAAATCTATAATGTTATTTGTTTATTTATTACTGTAGCAATACGTGTAGAAATTCACGTGTGATTCTAACAAAGACACAGGGGTAACGCACGCACGATTGAAACGTGCTTTATTAGCTCACTGAACGCAACATTTTATAATCTTTCTATTTTCAGTACATAGCACAGACAATACATTGAGGGCATTGTTACCATAATTGTCATATTTCACAAACTAATAAATGATATTACAATATCGTGCCTTAATGATATACACTACACTAATTTAAACTAAAAATATGATATATAAGTGATCTTTCAAATTATGAGGATGAATAAAATGTGTATTAGAAAACAAATTGGGTTTCATAAAATTGTTTGGTTTTATAAATTTCAAAACATTTGATATTTTTGTAATATGGCAATATTTTGCTAGGAGACAAATGCTATACAAAACATACTAATAGTGTGTTTGAAACTATTTTATTTGTTATGTTTTCATCATTAATTATTAATTTATGTTTTATTATAAATTAAACGATTTATAATATTATTCACACTTGCTTGATCCAAGACAGCTATAATATTTTCAGTATTATTGTTTTTTCTCCTGATACTACAGCGACACATCTAATTCGTTCTTATGAATTACTCAAGAAAATACTGTCTAGTTGATTACTCGTAACCATAGTTACCACGTAGATTACACACGTATATATCCACTGTCAATTGTTACTGTCCTAGTTTTCTACAGACAGCAAACCAAATGCTTAATTGTTCCAATTATATAGATCATAAACATAAATATTCGTTGGATCGTAAGTTGTACTTTAATCATGTGAGGTGTGTAATGTATTCAACTACTGTATAATGTCCGTCCATTATAATGCACAGAAACTACTAATATTGAATTTAGAATACAGGTCGAATTTTCATTTCTGTGAATTTCAAAGAGTATTCATATCCTTTCCAGGTCCACCAATTCAATCCCATCGCGTGTTGGTTATTCCCATAGTCACCATTAAGATTAGCCCGATGACACATACCATACCACCATGCTCCATGAAACCACTCAGCACACTGGTTACCAACGTCGAGTGTGCTGAATGGTGAATTTAAATGACGTTCCACCATACTATCACCTAGTCAAAAATAAGACATGCTTATGATCGTAGTTCCAGGAATGAATACAATACTCATTATAGTCCTCCAACCAGCTGTCAATAAACTAGCAACACTATTATTGCTGACTCCTCAGGTATTCTCTTGTCATTAACTATAAGGTGAGTCTGATGGATCTCTCATTCTCTAAGACATATATTGAATTACAGTCATATATAATGGAGTTGGTGAAGCTTGTATTTCGTATGAACACCAACAACACTGATAGTACTTGTGACAATAACATCAAAACAAAAACTAGTTAATGGAGTTAATTGTTATTACAACTTTACTGGAGAAAGGGATCTACTCAATTTCAAGTCTGCCTACCCAGTCTATGTATATAATGTTTATTTATCAGGGATTATATATTTGCTTTTTATGTTTTCCTATATTGCCATAATGTTGACATTTCATCGAGTAGCGGCATACTAGTACTTAATATGCACGCCACAGTGCAAATATATATTCGATAATTGTTGCTCACCTGCGTCGCCACTGTAGGTTCCCAAAGATGACAGTCTGTAATAATCAGATTCGTCGTTTATTTTAAAATTATTGTATAATGCATATCTTCTTTCACCTTCATAGTCTTCCAAGTCAATTCTTAGTTCATACTGAACGCCATGGTTAGTCATCTGATACAGATTATCATTACCCAACCAGAATTCCGTATTCAGATTTCCAAATCCTGCTTTGTAGAAGCACCATGCACGGTAGAAATCTACACTGCCATCCTGGCGTCTCTGGAATACCTAGAGCAGATTCGGAACGTATATGGTTTGAAACGATTCCTCCGTGAAGATTAGTTAATTAGTGCGAATTTTGCTTCATGAAAACGTCTACTACTTCCCTTGTCCACAAAACTATATATTTTCGGAAAGCTTATTGTATGAATTTAAAAATTTTGTTAGTATTTTTTTTTATGAACACTGTAGTTTGAAATATGCACAGAAATGTGCTTTTTTGATCAAAAGTGACTTTAAAAAAATAGCTCCTAAACCATGCTTCTGTTTCCTGTCAAAATTGGTTTATGGGTACATCTGTTCACTATGAAGAAAGTGCCGTCTTGAAAACTGTCTACCAGTTGTCAATTTTGCAGGGCAGCAGCCCAAATTTCACTACTTCAAGTTTATGCATAAATTAACACCCAGGCTAGTTTTCTGTACGATTGTTGTAACACTGTTCAACCAAAAACAATGCCCGACGGCGTTTTGAAAATAAACACATTGTCAAACATTTGTGAAAATTTCAAAGTTTGCTAATGCTTCTAATTAAAATGGCTGTAACAGTTCCAAATTTAAATGTATTTTCGTTTTGTTAAAAGTTAAATATAGTGCATAACATGGAGATGTTTCTTTGTTATTATTTATGTACATACTGCCTTGCTAAATCTTGCTAAGCATTCAACAAAGAGAATGTTTGCACCTGTTATCTATATTTTAAAATCGTTTTTTGAGTATGTTCCACTATTCACAATTCTATAAAATTTTAACAATAGTATAAACAAGACTGTTTGGATAATAAAAAGCAAAAAAAAATCACTCCCAAGTGCCCACGAACCTGCATCTCTACCTTAAAAGACTTTAGATTTTAAAAAACTGATGATACTCATTTGTACCCACCGCTTTTAGTTCATGAAATATATTACCTAAAATCTTATAAAGTGTCAAATTATTTGTCACAAAGTAAAAGGTCTTCCAACTGGTGACGCAATTGTAAGCCACGCACACACATAATGTGGTGCTACTTGTTTTTAAAAAAAAAGTAGACATCGAACTTCAAATGTGATACATGAAACGTATAAAACCGAATTACAATCTAATTGTTCCAATAACTTCTTAATATATCTTTATATTAAACTTGTATATTATATTGATTCTTACTGTCCAACCGCCAGGCGTGGTGCTAAAATCACAATAAGCTTCAAATGCATTGGAACCAGAAAGGTCAATGAGGTATACACCATTCTGTGTAACACCACTTTGTTGAACATCATAACAGTCGGTCCAGTTGGTAAGAGCTGTAAACAAAACGACGTGAGTCCTTATATTAGAGACGTACGTGCATCAAGGAGGGGTCTTTATATTCCTGTAGTGAGACATGTGGACGGCACATTTATATTCATACCAAATGAAATAGCCTCCGTCGTGCTATTTTTTGTTATTAGCATTTTTGTTTAGTTCAAGATGAAGACTGGAAACAAAAAATCAAAGCAAAATAGACGATAACACTTAGTCGGTCCATATGTCAGAACCGAGTTCAATCTCCAAATTACGCTGCGAAATATGAGCGTTATATTTTTGCCCCTAGTCAAAATAGTCGGTTTCAACTGCGTCTTTCCCTTTTACGTCATGTTTTCATATGAAAACATAATTGTCAACGCACTACTACTACTAATATATGCATATGTAAATATCTCTCGCTTTCATACCGTTGAGACTTTTGACAGTATGTTTTATTCTAATAATCACTGGGAAACATTTGCATATTAATTCGCACACTCACATTTAGAAGTGGTAGTTGTATCGAGTGAGTGGCAATAATAAATCAGTGTTTATTTCACCTAGAATGTGTAAGTTTAAACAATTACACTGTACGTAAAATGTCATACCTTCATTTCCCGCAGGTAGTGTTGTAGTGTCAACACAGACGCTACCAAATTCGGTTACAGCATGTGCTTGTGTTCTTCCATACGTGGTGATAGGGCTACGTGTGGAAGTTACGGCTGGAAAAGCTTCAGTCTCAAAGGTCTTTAACGTATTAATTAGGATGGTAGAATTATGATAGGTTGTTATTGATAAGTCGGTTGTACTCACAGATGAAGTAGTAGCCTCATATGTCTTTATTGGTATATTTGTTGTAGTATGGTGGGTTGTTATTGGTATATTTGTTGTAGTATGGCGGGTTGTTATTGGTATATTTGTTGTACTCTGAGATGATGTTGAAGGTGGATTAGTTGTAGCCTCATAGGTCGTTATTGGTATATTTGTTGTAGAATGGTGGGTTGTTATTGGTATATTTGTTGTACTCTCAGATGATGTTGAAGGTGGATTAGTTGTAGCCTCATTGGTCGTTATTGGTATATTTGTTGTAGAATGGTGGGTTGTTATTGGTATATTTGTTGTACTCTCAGATGATGTTGATGGTGGGTTAGTTGTAGCCATATAGGTCGTTTTTGGTATATTTGTTGTAGAATGGTGGGTTGTTATTGGTATATTTGTTGTACTCTCAGATGATGTTGATGGTGGGTTAGTTGTAGCCATATAGGTCGTTTTTGGTATATTTGTTGTAGTATGGTGGGTTGTTATTGGTATATTTGTTGTAGAATGGTGGGTTGTTATTGGTATATTTGTTGTACTCACAGATGATGTTGATGGTGGATTAGTTGTAGCCATATAGGTCGTTATTGGTATATTTGTTGTAGAATGGTGGGTTGTTATTGGTATATTTGTTGTACTCTCAGATGATGTTGATGGTGGATTAGTTGTAGCCATATAGGTCGTTATTGGTATATTTGTTGTAGAATGGTGGGTTGTTATTGGTATATTTGTTGTACTCTCAGATGATGTTGATGGTGGATTAGTTGTAGCCATATAGGTCGTTATTGGTATATTTGTTGTAGAATGGTGGGTTGTTATTGGTATATTTGTTGTACTCTCAGATGATGTTGATGGTGGATTAGTTGTAGCCTCATAGGTCGTTATTGGTATATTTGTTGTACTCTCAGATGATGTTGATGGTGGATTAGTTGTAGCCTCATAGGTCGTTATTGGTATATTTGTTGTACTCTCAGATGATGTTGATGGTGGATTAGTTGTAGCCTCATAGGTCGTTATTGGTATATTTGTTGTAGTATGGTGGGTTGTTATTGGTATATTTGTTGTACTCTCAGATGATGTTGATGGTGGGTTAGTTGTAGCCTCATAGGTCGTTATTGGTATATTTGTTGTACTCTCAGATGATGTTGATGGTGGATTAGTTGTAGCCTCATAGGTC